TCTTTCACACACGGTGGTAGAAATAGAATCCTCCGAGACAGGGAATATTTAATGAAGTCTTATCATGGAAGAGGACGGTACTATTTGTGTAGTAAAACTTCATTAAACCTTACAGTCTCTGTAGGTTCGTTCTATTTTATTGTTCCTTCCCTCTGAAACGCCATTTTATAAAAGTCATTCCACGTCTCATTATACATTTCTTTATTTTTATCCCTACGAAAGGCTTAAATTAAGAATTAACCAACGTATTTCATACGTGTTTTCTCCTTTCTGCATTTATTTAAATTGCTATTAATTTAGAAAAAAAAAGCGTTTTGTAGATGTACAATTGACAAGAGGTTCAATAAAAATATACAACTAGGGGGAAAGAAGTTTAATTACTGGGATTTGGTGAATTAAATTTTGTTCTCCAGTGGTCCGTGTTAAAATTCGACGTTTTACTTTTGCATTTCTGCCGGTGGTAACAAGAACCCGACGACGCGGTAATTAGAGCGATAAAACAGGCAAGCCGACTCTGTTTTGGACAGACCTGATACGCTGTTGCCAAAGACTTTGTTTCTTGTCGTAAAGCTTGCTTACGTGTTTTGCAGTGAAATAGCCGTGGCATGATTTTTGCCGAGACTCTGTCGAACAAACTTTGAAAGTTATAATCGCAGCCATATTTCGCTCGGCCTTTTAGTTTTCGCGTGATGTAAACGATATACACTTTTTTCCTTTCTTTCTTATGCTCTGCTATTCCCAAGTATCCGCGTACCAAGTATCTGTTCTCTCATTACACATCAATGCGCTTTCAACGTTTCAAAGGGAAGTTTAGCCAAGATTTGATAGAGGATATTTAATCAAGAGAAAAGTAATACTCCACAGTAACCAAAAAAAGGTATTATAGCATTTACATACACGTTGAATTTCTTAAATATTACCTGCAACTGATTAGTTATTTACTGAATTTATTTTACTGGGAGTCACCGGTGTGACCCTCACGGCGCTGAAATGCATTTCTTTCACTTTCACTTAATTTTTACGATATTTTATTTTTACTATATAGTGAAATTGAGGGTTGCATTTCTTCACGTACAAGGCTGTAGAGAGAACTATGCGATGAAATGAAAACAAATGGCAAGAAAACCACGACGATTTTGTAGGAGATGTTATGAAAAATATTCAAAATAATTAGGTAGTGCAAAAGCAAAAAATTATATCAAATAAATCCTCAGATTGTGAAGACTATATTGATTTACCTTTTCTTTGTTTGCAGTGTTTTAATACGATACATTACAATATGCGCGAATAATATATTTACATTATAGTAACGAAGCTAATATTGAAAAATTTAACATTTATTCGAATTATATGTTTTTATTAATCTTTGATTCGCCGGTAACCGGTGGTCCCCGTGGCGTTCAACGTGTCAGTTAGATCCAAATATATTGAATTTCGTATCTTTCTTTTTTCTCTTTATGAAAAATGAAACGTAGAAACTTTCATGAGAAAATATAAGCATAATATTGCATCTCGATGGAAGATTCATTCTTTTGTCAGGCAATAGCCTACTGGGGAATTTCAGTTTTGCTGACATCACTGATTGCTTCACTTTCGCACATTCCTTCGATCATCGTCGCTGTTCAAAGAAATCGACTCTAACAAATTCTCTGTTTCATATGCAGTTGGGATGCCGACCATGGAACCTCAGTCTGACCAGCGTGGTCGTCCTGGCTCTCTCAAACATGCTGTTGACTTTCCTGTTGCTGCAGTCGGAGACCTGCATCCCGGACGAAGTGCCCAGGGATTTGGAGTCAAACGCCGTGACCGAGTGGAACCTCGGTAGCCTGATCAAAGAGCAACAGCGCGAGCAACAGCAGCAACTGTCGGACTGCGTTACACAAGATTACCAACCGCAGCCAGCTGACGCGAACGTTTTAAGATTGAACATAAAGCTGGGCCGGTGGGACGCTCGTCGAATGTTCCGTACGTTCGACCACGTCCTCGTCGGGTCCAGTTTCGTCGAGTTGTCGCAGGCGTATCGCGTTTGCCTGGCCACGCAGAGCTCGATTGAGAAGTTGCACTCGGTGGTGCAGGCGGCCCATCACTGGACCGGGCCGATGTCGGTCGCTCTGTACGCGGCCGGTGACGAGGAGTTCGAGGTTCTTCAGAAGTACCTGATCTACCTTAGGAAGTGTTACGAACCCGTACGGGAGAGGGTGAGTTTCTCCTTGGCGGTGCCAAGGGTCAGGCCGCCGAAGAGGCAGCCACGTGAATTCGAGCTGCCGGAGGTGGTGGATTGTGCCAAACCGGAGGGGACGTTGAACGAGCTGATGAACGGGATCTCGAACGAGCAGACCAACTGGCGGATACGGAACGTCTATCCTCAGAATCACATGAGGAACTTGGCGAGGAAGAACTGCCAGTCGGAGTACGTGTTCCTTACGGACGTGGACATCGTGCCGAGCTTCAATTTGACCGGCGCCCTCGACGAGTTCCTGAGGACCGATACCTGTGATAAGTGCGCCTACGTGATACCGACGTACGAGCTGGACTCGCGCGTCCGATTCCCCCAGAACAAGACGGAATTGGTCAGGCTGGCGAGGAAGGGACTGGCCAGGCCTTTCCATCAGAAG